TTGGGGTCGGTGTGACGTGAAAGAGACTTGGGCGGGGACAGGTTGTGGTCAGTCTCGTCTCCTGTATGTCCCTGATGGAGGTGTGGCACTGGCAGAGGAACCCTGGGCACGGCGGGGCGGTGGGGAGTGCAGTGATGTGTGCATGAGGTCTGCGAGGGAGCCGGGAGTGGGGATGACACATTCCCACCCACGTTGCAGGCTTCTTGTCACCGTGGGTCTGGGAGCCAGCACTGCGGCTCCTACTGCCACAGCATAGGACCTGTTACCTGCAGGAGGCGTGGGTGGAGATGACCCCGCTGTGGTGGGCGCCGTGGGAAGTCCTGTGGAGGCAGCTGGAGATGTGGCATCGCCTTGATGCGTGGGCTTGCCAACAAGGAGCTGAGATGAATCTGTCAGTCCTTCTCTGCCCTGTGATCCTTTTTGCTTTTTCTTTCAGGTTCTCTGTAGGATGAAGATCGCTTAGAATCATAGTCTGTTCCTGTGTGATGTGCGTTGATTTTAGAGTTTTGCTCAGGGCATTTTATTGTTCGCCCTTGCTCTCTATGGTCTGTTTCCACAAATGTGGCCTCTTACGGAAGCCACTTAGTTCATTACGTAAAACAGACACAACTTTTGGTGCTTGTCTTTCCTACCTGGTAAATTTTCATCATGCAAGAGCTTCCAAGGTCACTCATATCTGTGGGAATTTTCTTGCTTAGAATCTCAGCACATTTTGTAGGCAGGGAATTTGAAACTTGGAGATGTTGCTCAACATGTCTTAGGTCACACAGCTAGTAAGGGACAGAGTTGAGGACTGATGCAGGCAGCTTGGCCTCAGTCGTCTCAGTGCAGTTTCTTTTGTAGTCAGTCCATTTTCCCATATGATCACGGGTTATGGGGAGCAATGAATTCCTGACGTGGTTCACTATGGGGACCCTCACTCTCTACGATCTCCACATTGACAGTGATATTAGTATTTGGGAAGGGTAGCTGCTTGCCCTGAGGACGCACCTTCCACAGATACGATTGTGCTGGCTTCTTCTAATTCCTGAGAAATGGTAGCAGAACAGTTGGCTTATGACATGCAAGTTTGGAATTTGCTCCCCTAAAGATCTCTATGCTGGTTGCTTATAGGCCTGTATTTGATAAATCAGGTAACCCAAGGGGAGTGTTAGGTATAGCACCTGGAGACTGAGACCCAGAGGTAACGTTCTATTCTCCCAGTGTTCCATTTCACAGGCACTGCTTAGGAGGAGGGGTCTGATAAAGGTGACGGTGTTTTCTAATAAACGGAGAATGCCAGAGGACTCCCTGGGTAGACATGAGCAGGCAGCCACACCGTTCGTGCATGAGATTCTTTTAAATTGGAGAAACATTTATTGTTCTCCTTTAGAGGTGGGGACCAACCTGTATCATAACATTGCAGATGTTCAGAAGGTTGATTGTCTCACCCGAGACTTCCCCCTTGTGAAAGCCACAGTTACCTTAAGAGTCTTTGACTTGAGTGCTGTGAAAAGTTAATGAAATCTGTGATTGTTGCCACTATGATGAAGTGACTCAACTTTAGTAGTGTAGCCGGAAGTGTTGCTGACCCTGCAGATTTTGCTCAACCTGTCTTCATTTTCATGCCCTCTGTGATCTCTTAAAATGATTACACCTCCGGTTACTTGATTGGAAGGCATTGCAGCGGTTACTATACAGAAGTTCTCAACTTGTGAGAGATATATAAAGGTCTCAACTTTATATTGTGCTCAGAGATATTAAGAAATTTAAAAATCATTTTCTAATTACAGACATACAACATGTTCACTATGTCAGTATGTGTTTGATTACCTTCACATTCTGCAAATATTTTTGTGTAGTTAGCAAATATTTTTTCTTGGTTTATGTACTAATTTGTTGATTCATCTAACTAATTATTGCTTAGTTAATATTTATTTCCTCTACTTGAATGACTTGAACAGGAATCTTTACATCACATTGTTTTGCTTTGTCTTCTGAGTCTGAAGCAAAGCTTACTTTAGAACATAGACCATGCTCAGTAAGCGTTTGCTGAATGAATATGTGAACAAATGGCACATACTTTGAGGTTACAAAAAAGTAAATGGAGGAAATATAAGCTGCAAAACATGTAAAATATGCTTGTTTAGTTTAAGTATGCCTTCATATCTACCTATGTGGGCAGTTATAGCAGTGCAAGACTGTAAAAATGACCATGCACTTTGTCCTGTAAATCTTTTTTCTTTGGTACCAGAAATCAAACTCAGGACCTTGCACTTGCCAGGCAGGCACTTGTGCTGCCGAGCTGTATCCCTGGCCTGACGATGCACTTTGACCCACACAGGATGACCCTCATAATCTGTGAGAAACTTACGATTGTTTCATGAACTTTGAATATTTTTTGGACCATTAAGATCTCTTTTGATGTTAGCTCTAAAGGTACAGGGAAATGAATGAAGTAAGGTAAAACTAATAATTATTTAGTACACAATTAATCTAGAACATTAAAAACATCAAGATTTAAGTGGTTTATTTCTTTGGGAAGTCTTACCAGTATCAGCAGCCCGAACCTTCCTAGTGTACAACTTAGGAAAGGGAGAAAGTGTGTGCTTTCCTTTCAGTGTCTGGACAAGTAGCCAGGCCATATTGGTATCAGCTTGTGTCATTATAGCCTCTGTGCTTTTTCCATGTCAAGAAGTGGTTTCCTAGAATTCCTTTATGTAAGGTTTTGTTGTTGTTGTTGTTTTGGCCAGTGTCACTTTCTCTAAGACACTGTCTTTTTTCACCGTGACCACTTTCCTTCTGTCTTCACTGTGATCCAGAGTCTCTTGAATGACAAATGATGGCATCGCCAACATTCCACTGACTGTGACATTATCTATAGTTCTATTCATGTTTGGTTCAAATTTTTCTTCTGATGTCATCAATTTTTGTCTCTCTGCCATACCTCCCTCTTTGTTGGCCAGTTTTCCCTTTTGTTTACCAATGCCTTATGGGTTTTTCATGGGGAGACAAGAAGACAGCACAACTACATACTTTGCTGTTACCCCGTTTGTGTGTGAGCTGAGCTCCATGCTCTCAGGGGCCTACCCCTTACACCTAGAAGTCTTATGACGTGTCCGTGATCAGGACTCAGGTTAGTCACAGAGCTGCCTGTGGCCACATTTGTGCTTTATGTAATTTTAGTGAGTACACTGTGTCAGCCTGAAGTAGAACTGTGCATCGAGGGGCAGTGTTATTCACACTGTGACAGCTGAAATACACTACATGTGTGTTGGAACTGAGCAAAATGAGGGTCGCCTTGGTGCCAGGCTTTAGTGTATGGATATGCATATGCGTTCTTTTCTCATTTTTTCCATTTAATTTTATACTCTATATAAAAAAAGGCAATCTTGATTTCATGTCTTATGACCACGTGATATTTTATTGTGTATTTGTACCATACTTAATTTAAGCAACCCTCTTTTGGGATATTTGGGAGTTTTCTGTCCCAATTACAAATGCTGTTGCAATGATCACTGTATAGCAAAATGTGTAAAAACTATTTGGAATGAATATATTTTTAGTGAAAGCACTGCAGGGTGTATTTTCTTTTTTTTTTTTTTTTTTTTTTTTTGGTTTTTCTCCAGTACCAGGAACCGAACTCACGACCTTGCGCTTGCCAGGCAGGCGCTTTGCCGCTGAGCTAAATCCCCAGCCCCACTGCAGGGTGTATTTTCATACATACCTTTCCCAGTCTCCTTTAGAAGAATGTTCGCATTGAGGCCCCCATCAGCACCCAGCATCATGAGATGCCACTGCAGGACTCCTAAACATTGAGAATTATCACTCTGGTTTTCATTGTTGCTGTTTAATTTTTTTATTGGTACACATGTACGGTTCCTAGTGTTTACAGTCCTGGTGTGGAGTTGGCACATGTAAATAACACATTCCTTTTTCATCCTCCTTCCCTGCCTCCCTTCCCTCTCCCTCTATCTCTTTCATTGTTGCCATTTTAATAGGTAAATATATATATTTTAACAATTACCTTTTATTGTGATTAGCTTAAATATTTTTCATGAGTTTATTTGTAGTAAATAAATTTTGATCTGCAGAATTATATTATGCTCTGTGTAAAATTCACCTATATGTGCCATTCTTGGTTTTACCCAGGGATTATAAAAGTATTCATGGGTCTTAGTTTTGCAATGTGGCCTCCAATTTAATTTCCAAGTGTGTTTGCCCTTTCTGTATTTCTGTCTCTCTCCCTCTCTCAAGAAAGAGAAAATAACCCCAAACCTGAGCTAAGTTCTAGTTAATTTTTCATTACACGAGTTTCAGGAGATGGGGTCAAAGAGAGCTAGTAGGGCATTCAATTATGTGATTAAGTATGTTGGAAAGGTTTTTCCCCCCTCAGGTGTACAATATTTTACTTGGTCTTGTTTTTCAAGTGCACTGAAGTGTAACTAAATGCTTTTGGGTACTGCCATTATGTAAAGAAGAGATCCCGTCTTGTTAAATATTCCTTCACCAACTGTGTGGTTCATGAAGTTCTGGCAGTGAGGACCTGCAAGAGAATAGGCTTAGACACTGGACAGAGGGTGGGTGGGAGGTGGGGACCCAAGGAAAACTCAGGATTGGGGTACCCCGTTGCCCCTCCCACTGTACACTAAGAAGCAATTGGTTCGCACAGATTGCTGTCTTATACTGTGGACAGGTCATTTGTCGGGAGGGAGGGGAGTAGTACGAGTAACCCTCGGCTCATCCAAGGGCTCAAGGTTCTTGGTCACACACCACGCAGAATTGGGTGCTGTCCTTGTAGAAGGAGCCGAACTGAGCTAGAGCTTGGACTAGAGGAATAGAGACAGGCTTCCATGTCTTTTTGGCTTTAGGTTGGGGATAAGGGAGGCTCGGCAAGAAGATGTCCATTGAAAATGTGGACGGGAAGCCCAGTAACCTTGTGGAGCGAGGAGGAACCAGAAGCTACACTTTCCTGAGGGTTGTCCAGCCCGTGTTTAACCACAGTATTTTCACTTCTGCAGTCTCCCCTGCGGCAGAGCGCATCCGCTTCATCTTGGGAGAGGAGGATGACAGCCCAGCACCGCCCCAGCTCTTCACCGAGCTGGATGAGCTTCTGGCCGTGGATGGGCAGGAGATGGAGTGGAAGGAGACAGCAAGGTGAGGCATGGCTGTGGTGTGCAGTGCTGACCTGGCCCAGGAGAAGGGAAGCGGATGAGGCCGGCCTGCCTTTCCCCAGCTTCAGCCCTCAGGTGGCCTGCGAGCGGTGCGTGTGGTGTTGGCAGGCTGAGGAGCGGGCGAGTCTGTTCCCTTTCCCCTTTCTATCTGCAGGGATGCAGACTGGCCTTACTGCACTCCTGCAGCACAGGTTCGCTGGTCTGTGGTGTTATGAGTTTGATTTTATAAGGACTGAGTGGTAAATCTCAGTTTATATGCTATTTAATAGTAAAATACTTTCTAGAGATAATAAACTCAAGCACCCAAGCGTGACAGTAAGAGATATCTGTTCACGTATCTACAAATGCCAGTGTATCTTGTCCTGATGAGGGAGTGTTATTAAGATAGTGTTGATTATAAGACCCGGTTGGTATGATTTCAGCTAAAAATTTTCACTTTCTAAGTACCCAGCTGAAAGCAAGCAGAAAGTTCACCTGATTTTGGAGTTTAGGGTCTTCAGTTTACTGTTATACTATGTCTTCACTTAGTTACATGACATTCAGTTTCTTAGAACTTTAGTTTATTCTCAATAAAGAGTGGATACTAATGTCTACCTCATACAGTATGTATGTATGCTATTTAAAATGTGTAATGTAGAAATGTCATATACATGTATAGTTGTATCATGAATGCTTATATTCATACATGTAGAGCAATGTATATAAAATGCTTTGCAAATTACTGAGCAAGCCTCTCAGCCAATTGCATAAGCCTCTTAAGTTTTTATGAATTACATGATAGTAGAGTTTTTTCTTATATGTATTCAATTACATATTTAGACTAAATCCTCTTCTGTGACATGTACAAAATATATAATAGAAAGACTAGAAAGACTGATATAATACAGTTATTGGTCTCTTGTCATTAATGCTAGAGATACCAATGTACTTTACTTTTCTAAACAAAATAATTTAAAGGTATACCTTTTATAGCCTGTACTTTGAGTCAGTTCAATCCAGCTAGGGCTTTTTTTGTCTTTTTGAGACAGGGTCTCACTATGCAGGTCAGGCTGGCCTTGCGCTCACTTTGTAGCCAGAGCTAGCCTTGAACTCACAGTGATCCTCCTTCCTCAACCTCCCGAGTGCTGGGATTACAGGCGTGTACCACCATGCCTGGCTCAAATAGGGCTTTTTGAGTGAGTAGTATATATGGCCAGCACTGTTTTAGGTACTGAGATTCAGGAGTTAACAAATAAACACATTCATAGATCTTTGTATTTTATTGAAAAGTTTCAAGTGAGTTCAGGATAATAACTTACCATCTGAGGTATACCAGTCATTATCCCAGCTTTGAGTTTAAGAAAAATAAATAGAAAAGAAGTGAATTTCTTCAATAAGTGAATTTCTTCTCCTTGATAACAGATGGAAAGGGATCTATGTCTGCTCCTCTATTCAAGATAGCTCATGTTGAAGTTAGAAAGAAGTTGTTATTTTTATCATTGATAATCAGTAAGAGAAGATAAACTATAAAGAAGCAATTAGCCAGTAGTCTTTTTTTTTTCTAAATGAATACTTTTTTAAGAGTTAAAGGAAGAACCTTAGTTTCATGCAGTATACCATTTATAATCAAGTCTTACCAAGTTGATTAGATTTGTTGTAGGCTAGGGCCTCAGACTTATAATGGTTTATAGATTTATGGATTCTAATTTCCACAGTTATGAGTACTATGAAATGTCTTCAGCTATTCAGTATTTTTAATGTTAGAGAAATTTTGTAAATTAATGCATTTGATGATGGTGGAAAAGCTCTTACTTTTCTAGAATTTCTAGGTAGATTGGCCCTGCAGACACTTCTCCTTTAAAAGTTTAATGTAATCTGTGGCGAATTTATCTTTTGTAATTTAATCATGGTCTGAAAAGAAAAAAGGCATTGTATTTTATTCTTGGCCTTCATAGTAGTATTAAGAGGCCCAATTTTAAAGTACTTTATTTGCCATTTGTTGGGTAATTCTCTTTCTAATAGACACCTACATACTCTTCTGCTTGAGAGCTAATCAGCACTTTTCACCCTCAACTTAAAAAGCTCTTGGCAGTGCATTTATATTCCATCTCTGATACTCTGTCTTGAAGCTCTTTATTCTTTGCTCTTCAGATATCTTCCTATGATACAGTAATTGTCTTTTATTCCCTTCTGTAAGAATTAGGCACTTGTGTACCAACAGTCTTCTGTACATTTTTAGTCCATAAAGCGTCCTCCAGAGGAAGGTTTCCAAAACAAAGTCTTCTGCTAGGATCTGTGCTTCATTCTTTTCCTCCTTCCTGGTGGAAAATATGGAGCAAGACCTGTACTAGGCATACTCATGTAAGTGTTAGGAGATATTGCTGCGGTCTTAGTTTTGCGGCTCACTGGTTATTTAAACATGACCACATCCTGTAGTCTTCTTAAGCCTGAGTTTCCTATTCTGTCAAATGGTTTGCATCCTCTCCAACACTGAGCACATTTTATTGCTCTAACAGTGTATTCCTGTGTGTATACTGGCATCATCACTGTGATGCTAAGAGCTGCTTGGATTCTTATTTCCCTCTGAAATTCTGTGAGTCGTTAAGAGTGGAATGCTGGGGTAGTTTCCTGCTCTCTACTTCAGTCACAAATAGACTACTTACTGTTTTCCTTAACTCCTGGTCTCAGAGGGGCGATGTGATCAGTAGTTCATTATCTAGGTAACCCCGTGTTAGTGAGATGGGTATATTTCCATTTAAGACTCTTAAAGATTATGATGTCCATGAATTCTTTACCCTCCTTGAAAGACTATTTTAGGGAGGGGAACCCATGTGCCATTTTGGTGATATACTCAACCCTGGGAGACTGTACTCCTGCCAAGGGAGGGTTGGGAGAGTACCGGATGCTGGGAGGAAGCTGTCCAGAAAGAAAAAGTACTTACAAATAGTCTCCACTTTATAATTTCTCTTGTGTAGGACTTGCTGCAATGACTGTTTATTATGTTTATGATATTACTGTTTTCATTTGGTTTTTTTTTTTTTTTTTTTTTTTGGTTTTTCTCCGGTACCGGGAACCGAACTCATGACCTTGCGCTTGCCAGGCAGGCGCTTTTGCTGCTGAGCTAAATCCCCAGCCCCTTCATTTGGTTTTCTTTGTTTCACTAATTCACGTAAAGTCAGTGACCCTGTGCTTGGTTTCTCACTGTGGTGCTGCTAGTGCCACGCAGGGCCTGGCTCCTCAGAGGTCAGTAAGCATTTGCTGAATGTGTGATCACTTGAGAACTGATTGCCTCAGAAATAACTCTTCCAAATATAATAGTTTCTTAGAAATACTGATTAGCCAAAGTTGAATTTCTGTTATAACTTAGGTCTTTCTGACTGACGGATAGCTGTGGAGTGACAGACCTAAGGTGCCTGGGACGTCACTGATGAAATGCAAAGAGGGCCTGTGTTTAAAGTTGCAGACTATTTCATCAATGTGCCAGTGATACCTGCGTTTATATCTCTAACCTAAACTTCTTTTCTTATTTAATTGAATTAAATATTTAGAGGAGTATTAGGAGTCTCAAAATTAACATGTCTACATTTGCTCTTCCTGAAGATCTCCCTATCTCCATTAACAACTCCAGTCTTCCAGCGTGGCTTCCAGAGCGCGTCCTTGACACCTGTCTTTCGCTGCACCTGCTATCTGATCAACTGGAAAATTCTGTTTCCCCCTCACAGACCCTCAGCTGTTCAGAGCCCTCAGCATATTTCAGGTTCAGTACTGCCATGGCTACCATCATCTTTTGCCTGAGGTCATTGTTTTGGCTTCCTTGGACAGGCCCACTTCCCCAGTACACTGCTGTCCTTGACCTTTTCTCCTTTTACTCACTCGTCTTGGGCTCCCCGGGGAGCCATGCTGCCCTGTCAGAGCCTTGGTACTGCGTCCCTCTGTGTGGTTCCTTCCTTCCCTTTCTTCAGGTTTTAATTCAGATACTCCGTTTTCGGTGGCCGCCCTGTCTCTGACTGAAACCTTCTTCCGCACTTGCTACCCCTCATCCCGCATCGCTTTTTCTTAGCTCTTAGCCCCATTTTGCATGTTGTACATCTTTTATGGTTTCCTCTTACTGGAATGAGAACTCTGTGAGGCCAGGAATTTTCAGCTGTGTTTGTTCACCACTCAGTTCCCAGTGCATGGAGCTCCTTGACATGAAGTTAACGCACAAGAAATAGGGATTAATTGAACAACTGAGCAGAGAAGAAAAACCTTGATTCTTAGTGTGCAGCTCTATCGAAATTCTGTGAAGTCTGGTGATTATGCTTCCATAAATGTTCATATTTTCAGCAGTCTTGTGACATACTCTGCTTCAGAATATTGGTGCAGTAATTTCTGACTTCCATTCTGAGGTCTAGTTTCCAGACATGAAGAGTTTTTATCCCACCTATTCAAGTTTTAAACCTACCACTGGTAATGGTTAGTGCTTAGCAGGGATTCATTTTGTATATGAAGATGTGGAATGAGTCTATTTCTGGTTAATTTATAAATTACAGCATCATTTGCTTTTTGTGAAAAGCCAGTTGATAAACATCTTTTAGGGAGAGTGTGCTGGGGATTGAACCTGGGATTTCATGCTGCTAGGCAGGTGAGCTACCACAGAGGGACATCGCCAGCTGGCAGATTATTTTATTCCAAAGACATGCAGCCTTCTCCAGCTCAACACAGTTTCTAGTGTGTCTACACCACGGCAACACCCATGTTTCACTTTTAAGGTCTGTGCTTTCCAGGTTAGCCAATGATTCGATTTGACCAAGAATATTCTACACTGAGCTTCAGCACTGCTGTGGTTTCTATCCTGCTTTCGTGATTTCAGGTTGGCTCTTTACCTCAAATGATAAAGAGAATATCTTCAGTAATAGGGGAGACAGCTACCGAAGTCTTGGGAAGTCTGAGTTGTCATGTACACGATGAGCAAGAGAAGTCTTTGCTAAGTTTGCCACCCTCTTTTTTGATATCCTTTTACTGTTCTTTTCATTCCTGTAAGTTAGAACTTTGAATTATCAGTGACTCTTCCAAAATACAGCACAAGCTGAAGACTGCACAGGGTATACTTATCAGACCCAAGAAATGTATCTGACCAACGGGACAGTAAGGAAGGCAGCTCACTTTAATGGTACAGAACATCTGAATGTGCAGTCAGTAGAGAAGGTGACCTCCAGTAAGACAGTGCTAGTGAACATGGAGCCCTGTGTAAGCGCAGAGGAAGCCTGAGCTTCTCGTAAGAATGAACATCAGCTGGGGGCTCACAAAACAGACGGGTGAAGAACCATTCCTAGTCCGGCTTTGGCACTGGCCCAGTGTCAGGAGGAGGGGACCTTTTTTCCTTCCATACAGTCTTTATTTCTTTAAGTAAAGAGTATCGCTGCAATAGGATTATGAGTTTTAGGTTTTTCTGCAGTGAATTTTCCATTAAACTTGCCATTCAATTGAATGTAAGTTAAAGATCACTCACCCAGTGCAATTCAAACCGCTGCCAAACCTGGGCGAAATGGAAAGCTGTCACAGCTTTCAAAAAGCACAAGCCAACAGAGGAAAAGGCTGCTGATGTTTCATGTCCAAGGGGACAGCACATATGGACAGCTACTTGTGTTTCTGTTGAGGCAAATGACCTGCTTTACCTCTGGGGAACCTAATTTAAGGTTCTCCAAAACACACTGCACACTTTGAGAGAGACGGTTCTCTTTCCAGTCAAATTGACTTCTCTGTCTCCTCTACTGGATTATTTTGGGAAACTCCATTTCAGAACACATTTTTTTTTTCTGTAAGGAAAAGTCTCAAGGAATCTAATCATCCGTGTAATTATATGTAGTTATATCTAGTAATTACATGCAGTTACTTTCACAGTTGTTCTAGGAATGTAAGAATTCTCCTTAAAGACATCATCTATCCCAGGTACATACTAGCATTTGCTTTGTGTGTGTGTGTGTGTGTGTGTGTGTGTGTGTGTGTGTGTGTATGTGTGTGTGAGACGAGACACTTATTATTTGCAAGAAATGTGTTACATTTCAATAGTTTTACATAGTTGGATTATATTCTAGTGCAAAGGTCATGTCTATTTTCCATTGTAAAACTGGCAGACTTTTAAGTCAGATTTTGTCTTTTCTTAATTATATTTAATCATATGATTGGAACATTGCAAAATTCAGTGATTCCCAGTGGGCCTCTGTTTCTTCAGCAAACAGTGAAATGCTCCTTGGTTGGCAGGCACTCACGGTGTGTTCGACTGTAGTGTACTCCATCATTATTCTTCTAAGACTTTGGAATAAGTAAACTTCACCTAAAAAAAACTCCTCCTTCAAGGGTGCAACAGTTTTGTAATTGCAAGCGTTTAAAAAGCCAACTTTTGAAATTAATTTTCCTGTATTATGTCAAGTATCCAAACAAGAGGAAAAGTCAGAAATGTATTACAAATACATGCTTATTCATAGTTATTATGAAGGGTAGATAGTGGCTTTTAGTGTACTAAAACTGAAAGAAACATGTCTGTCTTTAAAAATAAACATAATTACATGGTTCAAAAGGACCTTTACAGATTCATTAGCCCTTGGGTAGGCTGAACTTTGGTACCTTTGCCTTAGCCTTCTCTTTAATGGGTTTTGATTTGAATTGAGTAACATTTAGGGTTTTTTTTTCAAGTTTGTCCTTGATATTTGAGGAGGATAGACATTGCATGTACATTTTGTGGCATTACACTATTAGCAAATAATCTATTTCAGTGAGTTAACCATTATTTTATGCCTGAGTGCTTATGTTGGGAGTATAATTGTTCCTTGAACAATTAGAGCATTACATTGTGAAGGAATTTAATAAGTGTTATCCCAAAGTTCTCACTATGATGTTAGCTGTACTATAATATGACATCATCAAAGCATTCAATATTTAGTGAAGTCAAAGTGAAATAGATACTGAACTGAGCTGTCACATAATACTCATTCCTTAGGAAGATGGCTTCTAAGTAACTTGACTAGCTTTGAGACTTTACATTTCCGTTCCTTTGTGGTTAATTCTTAACCCAAGGGTTAGTGTTGTAGAGAAAGATGAATTCAACCCAACTGTGACTTATGATTTTTAAATATACTTTCAAAATGTGTTGAAATTTGTATTTTGAGTCTAGTCAGTTTGCCAACAACATAAACTGTGGAGCAGAATAAACATAAATATGGCCACAAAGGAATAAAGTTACTTTTGCTTCTTTTTTAAATAAAAACTTTATGGCACTTACATTGTTTGGACAGTTGGATTGTCTGAGTCTACTTAGACTGTAGTATCAGAATACCATAGGCTGGTAGATTTTTGTGGTAGGTAACAGAAATTTGCTTCTCACAGTTCTAGAGGTGGGAAGCCCAAGATCAAGGCAGCAGAGAGATTTGGTATCTCTGCACGACAGAGATTTGGTATCTCCACTTTCTCAGAGATGGCGCCTTCCGGTGGTGTGTTCCCATGGTGGAAAGGGCAGCCTATCTGTTGGGACCTCTTTGTAAGGGCCCTAGTGCCAATCATGAGGGCTCCACCCTCATGGCCAAAGCTCCCTCCTTGTGGCAGTATCACTTTAGGGAGGTTGAGATTTCAACATATACATTTCAGGGGATGCAAACACTCAGACCGCAGTAAGGATAGTGGCAGAAAATTATACATATTGTGTACAAGTGATACTTAACTTTCTAAGGAATAGGGCTTAGTATTAATGGCAGCCAATAGAAGGGAGACTCATTTAGGAAGATACTTGGGAAATGAAGGCTGTATAAAATATTACACTTTAAAGCATTTCTAGTTGACTCTGGTCATTCATCGTGGGCTTAAATTCTACGACCAAAAATTCTATTTACTAAGAATACTCTTAGAAATACAAAGCAAGGAGTCACTACACTCTTTATGGATGACATAATTCTGTGTAATCCTGACTCGATTTTAAATAGTGTAGAATCTTCTGCTTCTGGAGTCTGATGTTGAAGAATAAGTTATAGCATCACATACAGTAGATGTAAACATGGTTCGTATAATAGTCTCCAAAAGGTATGGTTAGGGATTCTGTGAGTAAGCAGGCTAATACAATCTACTTAAAGGTAACCAATGTAATATACTCTATAAAATGATTATTCTCAAAGTAGCCCCATCCACCTTAGTTATTTTTTATTATTTTAGTTATCCATAGAAGTCTGTAAGTTTATTTTGTAATGTTGTCATTTTTTCTCCTACCTCCTTCTATTGTTCTGTTGTAATTCCAACCCAAATGAAGGAACACTAATCACGTGTGTGTGCACACACATAAGAAGAGGAGAGATCTTTCTTTGTCTTTTGGAATGTGCCTCAACCACATTTGTAGAAATGAACTAGGTTCAGTTGGGAGGTTTTAGGACCTCTTTGGTGATGGTGTTGACTTTTTTACTTTTGAGATAAAAATGCAAAGCTCTCCACTGCTTACGCTGTTTTGGGGGGGGACTCAGGGGAGAAAAGGAGGGTCTTACAGTTGGTCGAGGTTGGGGTGATGTACCATTAATGCGGAGTGGGCCATGTGGGAGAGGCCTCTTGAGGCGGCTGGAGGCATGGTCCTAGGGCTGGCAGAATACTTGTGAGTTAGGAGTGTTGATTCGATTTTCATTTTTTTCCACACTGGCTGGTCTCTTGATCTCTTTGCATGCCTGGCTCTCCTAGCGTGCTTTCTGCCCCTTCTCAGGGCTGGGTGAGAGTAGTATAAATAACACCTTATGCAGAACTTTCTCTGTTCTCTGCCGTTTGTTCCGAGCTTTGGCAAGTTAGGTGAGTGTTTAGCTCTTTCTGGGCAACTATTTTCAATCATTAAACTTTGAGTGAAAAATGTAGAGAAAGTAAATTTGCACCCCCCTCTTTATTGCTTCTGATATCTTTAAGAAGGTTTGGAGTGAGCAGAAGGAAGCACTGTCATTTGGGTTGTGATACATAACAAATGATGCAGCATTCCCTTTTCTTTACAGTGTGGGAGTCTGTGTGTAACTTATGTGGGTACAGAGGCTGTCACACGTGTTTTGCTTTTATCAGACTTTTTTCTATATATTGCAAGGTTACCAAAATGTCTAGGAGTCTTAGGAAGCAGAAGCTATGGAAGAGGGTCATTTGTTCCACTGCTAAAGTTAATACAAAATGTGTTGTTATCAGAATTCATGTGTTGTTCACTGAACTTGTGGTATTTTTAAACATGTATGGAGCCAGACTTGAAAGGTAAAGTTTTTATTAGAATGTCAATGAGAAGAGACCAGGTGTGAGACAAGAAATATATTTTAAACACAGACACATTAAAACAGGGTTACCTCCTTTAAACATCAACAAAGGGAAGTTTTACCTTGATTTTACCACTTCAAGCATCATGGTTTACAAATGTTTGAAATAAGTACTGTTTCATCACTAATATCTCACCTTATATAAATCCACCTTGTGAAAGCATCACAGAATTCTCACTGTGATGGCTATTTTTATACATCACAGGCTCCATCCCTATGGAGAAGTTTGATTTGAAAATTTTTCTACCTTACATTAAAAACTCAGTAACCATTCTTAGGGATTATATGGTTACTTTTAGGCACATATAAGAAACAGAGATGCTTTGTCTCCTCTTGTTTGCTTTTTCTCTCTCTCTAACTTGGGTAAAAAGTAGTCTAGCATTTCTGTTTGGGTGTATTCCTGAAGATAATGTAATTACTGATACAATAAGCTACTAAATGAAAGGAGATGTTTCACAGTTCTGTTAAGAGTGAAGATGGAAGCATGGACATTGCTATTTCTAGAGGAGGTTGGGACACTTGTAATTGCCATTTGCTAATTTCATCTTCTAGGTGGATTAAGTTTGAAGAGAAAGTGGAACAAGGCGGGGAGAGATGGAGCAAACCCCACGTGGCCACACTGTCCCTGCACAGCTTATTTGAGCTGAGGACGTGCATGGAGAAGGGATCAATCATGCTCGACCGCGAGGCCTCCTCCCTCCCACAGTTAGTGGGTAAGTGCACTGTTTTGGATTCCTGTGACTTTTTTTGCTTTATGAATCCATGAGTCTTTATCAATGCAGATGTCTACTACTATAAACACATTTAAATATTTTATAACATTTCTTCTTTCATTTTTGTTTGTGAAACTAATGTGATTTATTGAAGAAAATTTGGAAAATTCAGACAAATATTAGGAAAATATCAAGTGTCATCCATAATGCCTGTCTCTGGGAATAGCCATTTGTGACAATTTTGAATATTTCTCTCCCAGTTCAATTCTCAATATTTTATGCTTTTCAGTTTTACTATTGCACCAAAGGTCATATTTATAGGCACAAATTTATATTCATTTCCTTGGCTTATTAGCATAATATTTTGCATAGGTTCAGGTTCTCTCCCCTGCTCAGCCTGGTTGTATTGGACTAGAAGTCTGGATGTTAGATTTCTAGCACTCCTTCACACTTTAGACATCGCATGAGCCTACTTAGGTTTCATCATTTGTAGAGTAGTGTTTACAGCTACTGTAAGAAGGGACATAGTGTAGGTCCTGGGTGGGATCTGACTGTAAGTGGCTGTTAGGTATGTGTGTAGAGAAAGATTATATTGGAACAGGGGGGCGGAAGGACTTTATGAGTTAGTGACTGAGTCAGGACACATTTGTGCTGAGTCTCATTTGTGGAATTTCTCTGCCTGAAATTCTGCCATGTAGACATTCAGTTCACCCAGAAAGACAGGATTTGTTGTCTACACAAAGCTACGTGCTCTGGAGGGGATCATGTTTAGATTCTATAAGACACAGAGAGGTATCACAGAAAGAATGCTGGATTCAAATTCAAAGTTTGGGGCTTTAATCAAAGTTTCCCTGTGGTAGCATGGATGAGCAAAGGCAGAACAAGTTATCTTACTCTTTGGAGGCTGAGTTCTTCATCTGTGAAAACAACGTGAAGGGAGACCGTTCAGTCATTATGAGAATTAAACAAGATCATCAGTTGTAGTTGTGATTTTATCCCAGTATACTTAGCTTATCCAGCTCTTCTAATGTATAACTAAGAGGGCTGGAGGACCCTGATGGAGTCAGGGAGAGAGATGCTGAGAGACCCTGAGAGCAGGGGAGAAGGTTCCAGAGGGTGCGGTGGGCAGAGCTGGAAATAGATGGACAGCTTCTTTGCTGTTCTTGGAGCTGATCAACAAGGGCACTAGAAAGTTGAATTAAACCCTTGGGCTTTTTTTGTAAAACTGTCTTTATGATCTTCAGCACCAGGAAGAGCCACTGTAAGACTCTGTTGGTCTTCAGTAACTAACTGATCCTGTCCATGTGGTAGAGACAGAGTCCCACATTAAACCGGAATCTCTTTAGCCAGTGGACACAGAGAGAAAGTCTGGTATTGATGAATTTAAGAAAGGTGAATCAAGGATTTGATGTCCTTGCTTTAATTTTCCATTACTTTTTATCACTAGATGTGAACTTTTTCCTCTAACTCCCATGCATTTGCTTTGAAAATTGTCATTGCGTGTTAAAATTAGACAGCACTCGGTCACTTTGAGGTATCATCATTCACTAATATGTCACTCCACAGGCCCTGGGGCAAGCAGCTGAGAGCCAGTGCTGTCATTCCAGAGCTGATAATACAGAAAAGCAGTTCAGAGGCAAACCACACGTCACAAGCAAAACAAAGGGAGGGGAAAAGGCCAGTTTTGCAGGCATGGGAGGAAGAGTGTGATTGAAAGAGTATAACTGGCTAATGAGAAATACGAATCCACCAAAAGAATCAAAACCTTACCAACGCTGAAACTTGAAGAACAACAAGGCCTGACTTCCATTTAAGTGACAGAGGATGGCAATGTACTTTGAAGAGTTACAGTCATTCTTTAGTTATCAAACCCTTTTTTAGCAGAAGATGAAGTGGAGTTGCTTTGTCTTGCATCATACTGATAATTTTGAGTCCAGAATTATGTACAATTGTCTTAAGATACATCTCCCCCAACACCACAATTTTATTTCAACAAATGAGAAGAAAAAGAAATAATAAGATGTGTTTTATATCCAGCGGGAACATGGTTTCCATACTTCTTTGTGTTCCTCTGCTTCCACTTCTCCTGGCCCTGACTCTGAGAGCCTCCCACCTGCCCGTAGGCTCCAGAGCAGTCTGGAAGGTCCACAGCTATGTGGGGCCTGAGCAGGGCGACTGTGTGGGAGATTTCACTCTCGCACTTCCACAGAAATTCAGTCTCATTCTGACTCTCCTTGGGGCCTCTGTGTGCTTTTCTTCATGAAGAGCCACTTTTGCATGCTAATGGGATAATTTATCTTTAAAGTATTAGAAAGGATAAAACATTTTCATGGATTATTTTAATAGGTCTAGTACTAGCAGCATCATTGCCATTCTACTTTTAAAGAATGCCATTCATGCATGAAGCCAAGTACATGGGAATTTCCTTCCCATCCTCAGCTAAAACATTGTACACCATTTCAGATATTTTATTATGATGAAAAATGGATTTGGAAGTGTAGCTGTATTTTTGGAGCTCATTTTTATATGTAAAGGCATTCCTGTGCTGTGCATGTCAACAGATGTCTGAGGCCCATTGTGTCTTGCTTTTTACAACTTTTATATTTTCAAAATGGCATTGTCTTTATTGCTTTCTTCCTTAATCATGAAACTAAGATATGTTTGTTTTTAAATAATCCAAAAGAAACATGTCACAAAAATAAAAATAGTAACCTTCCAGAACTATCCTTTCATTATTTTTTCTGTGCAACTCTGTTTACACATAGATAATTTATTTCCCAAAGTGGGATCATACTATATTTCTTTCTTTTCTGAAATTTAAAAATATAATGTCAGTATTTTCTGTGTTACTAAATATAAATTTAAACATAATTTTCATTACTGTGAAACAGCATCTGTTACTGAGCATTTAGGTTGACTTCAAGTTTTTATTGTAAAGAAAGTGAACATTTTGATATATTTTTTGGAAATTAGTTATTTTCTTATTATAGATTTCTAATGGCGAAATATTCAAAAGTTTTGAACATACTGAAGGATTTTCATGTGTATTTGCCAAAAGATCCTCAAGAGCAGTTGCGCTAGTCAGTATGGTTACCATCAGTTGTATCGGTCAGCTTTGCCATGGCTGGAACACCACCCAGACCCAACATACAGACCGGAAGGAGGAGATTTGTCATTTGTCTCATGGTTTCAGAGGATTCAGTCTATGGTCCAGTCAGTTCAAGGCAGGAGCATGGTGGAGGGCGTGATGGAACAAAGCTGTACACTTCATGGCACCCGGGAAGCAGAGCAGGGACACGGTGCCAGAGAGGAAGGGATCAGGGACTGACATAGCCCTCCAAGCCAGGCCTCTGTGGCCTGCCAGACACACCCTGAAGCGCTCTTTGCTAACCCCCTGTTCAGCTTTTGAGCCAACTCACAGTCCAGCTTAACTGGCATACCAGAAACTGGAATTGCCTACTGCACACACCCTTCACACATGAGGCACTGGTTTGTCTTTAATTTTTACTGCTTTGATAGATGAAAACGATCTTGTAATTCATAATATGTACACAACTTGTTTAAACTGTCCCCGTTTATCTCAAAGTTGAGATTTATCTATATTTTTTGTCCCTTTGTATTTCTTTGAGTAATACTTACCTGTGATCTTTGCCAGTTTTCTGTTGCGTGACCATCTTCCTCTTGGTTTGCAAAAGCTCTGCATGTATCAGTTCTTTGTATATAGAGCTTCTTTTTAAATAAAGAAAAATATTGCGTGGTATGGGGAAAGAGCTGCACTGTGAGTCAGAAAACTTGCTTTTCTTAGAGAGCTTTGCCTCTGATTAGTCTGTGTCCACCTCTCTAGACTCTGTTCTCATGTGTGTAACAGGAGCTCGAGCTTGCTGCTCCTTGAGGTTCCTTTCCACTCTGCTATCATCTGAAGGTGGCACATTTTCTCCCAGTTGGTAGAATCTGTGGGATTTGGAACTGAAGGCTTAATTTCAGTGTAGCTGTAAAATGTTGCTGCCCCCACTTTCCTTTTAAAGGTTTTCTAGATATGCTTAAAGAGATCCCTATAATGTGGGCCATTTTTATGGAAACTTAATGAAGGGCATAAGCCACACAGATGTTTTAACCTGTTCTAACTGGTGATTTCCAGGCATTAGTGACAGAGGACTGGTTGTGTGTATGTATGGATTGGTTTGCCATTTTAAGGGAGGGAGAGAGTAGAGGGAGGACCTGCCAGGAAGGGAAGATAAGAAACATTTTAATCCACAACCCTGGAATTAGAGTAGGAGTTTGATAACACTTGCAGCAGATATGCTGGGGGTGTTTGTTTATTTTTATGGTTCTTGTGTAAAATGGACTTTCCACATGGCATAGGACTTAAAGGGGAGTGAGGGAGTGTGTTCTGTAGGTACCTGATTATTTTACATGGAACAAAGGCCTGATTGTAAGTACAGGATCAGTTCTGAGAGTTTTACTGAGTGGAGTTCGTGTAGTCAAAAATATTCAGAGATAACAGCCACTCTTAAACCAAAGTATTTGTAGGAGAAACTTCTGTCCTGCCCAGGCTCCCTAACAAGTGGTCCAGGGTTATGTGATACTTATGGCAGCCATGTCATCATATGAGGTAAATCCTGGATGTAGCTTCAGTTGGCTTCCAAATACCTAGTTGTATACAGTGTAAGTCGCAAGTTTCTAGCTGTAGGTTGTGAGGCCAGTTCTAGGAATACTTCTTGTGATGATGGGACTTCGAGAAGTGCCGTGAAGCCCAAGCAGAGCACCTTGAACACTTACAAAGAAGCAAGAATCCCTGGGAATGGTTGTGATGTTACTATTACCCATGACATTTTTGTCACACTTTTTCAAAAGAATACTTTTTGGTTTTTTTGGTAATTTTGTGTTTTTCTCTGAGATGTTTGCTCAAGAAAAAATTAGAGATGTATGCTAGCTGCATCTAGGTACCAGGAAAGGTAGGCATGGGATCCATCATTCTGGTTTGATGCAGGGGGCAAGAGCTGTACTTGAACGCAGTGAAGCAGCTTCCTGCCAGTGCATGTCTGGCATAGGTTCTGTGTTCTTTTGCCCTTGGTCTCGTTCTGGGTGGAGGAAAATGTTGGCCTGTCCTCGGCAGGCATTGGCACTATACTTTGATGTACTGGCTTGTGAGAGGATAACTTACTTCCTATTAAGTTAGAAACTTGCTCAGTAAAGTGAACTGTGGAGCTATTTCTGTGAAATATACCCATCTCTTACTTAGTTAAATGTGAACTAAAAAAGAGCTAATAGAAACATTTTTTGCTAAGCCCAAGATACGAAAATATCACAGAAAAATTTATTGTGGTTATACTGCACAATGGCCAGTGGAAGAAGACTAATTTGCTTTAGCAAGGCTCTAGTCAGATCTAAATAGGGAAAGTAGGCCTACTGTCTTAGAAAAGGTAAGAGCAAAATTTAGTGGTTTAATCTGTCTTGCATTGAATGAGTTGGCGTTCAAATGACCTGATACTGAAGTAGAGTATTTATTTTACCTTGTTCTATTATAAGGAAAATGTTACATCAAAGAAGGATTTGGGAAAATAGATTTAAAAAATGAGTGCAGTCAGTACATTAAGTCTTGCATGTTTTCTTCAAAGTTTTCCCTGTCGTTAGTATTTCTAATACATAATAGAGTTCATGACATTTTAAAATCTTTTTTAAAACTGAAAAATATAATAATGGTATACTTCATAGAAGGTGATTTATGTGAATCCATCATAATTAGGATTGAAAAAAATGTAACAAGAAAATTATACTTCTGTGGGAATACAGTTAACACTAGAATACTTATCACTGTCATTAGTGACAGTGTCCCTGCACCTTGTATTTTATTCTTTACTTTACGTGGGGAGTTGGAGATTTTTATGATAATATATTGACATTACATTACTAATGGACGTCCCTGAAGCTAATGTGGCTTTGTGCCTGAGCTTGATTTTTGTTTTTGTTTTGCTTCGCTTTGGTATCAGAAATGATTGTTGACCATCAGATCGAGACTGGCTTATTAAAAGCTGACCTCAAGGACAAGGTGACCTACACTTTGCTCCGGAAGCACCGGCACCAGACCAAGAAGTCCAACCTCCGTTCCCTGGCTGACATCGGAAAGACGGTCTCCAGTGCAAGTAGGATGTTCACCAACCCCGACAATGGTAATGCAGGGCCAGCTGGCTGCTGCTTTCTCTACCTGTCTGAATGTCACCTGCCTGTTGTCATCTGTGATTTACCCCTCTCCATATTTCTGCCTTTCTCCCTCTCATATGCCACAGTCATTTCATAGTGACACTTTTGGGCAGATTCAGTGTCACTGGGAGATTAAGTGTCACTGTAGGCTGCCAGTGTGGTAGGGCTGTGCCTGCGCCATACACACCTAATCTGATCATGATGATCTGGAGATAGCTCTGATGAAACAACTGAACACTGCAGATAACCAGAAAATGTGTAGATTATCTATGACCTCAGGGAATATTTTTTTATGATAGTTTGCCAGAATTTGGATATATTCACATATAGTTGCCTTGAAATTTTATATCACTGTTTGCTTGATATTTAAAATAGTGGTCAGCCTATAAATTATCATTATATCAAAGTAAGACCCAAGATTGTTTTTCCCACTTACAGACCCAACTCGCTCTTTTGACATCTGATAACAAGGGTCAGGTGGGGGAATAATCATTCAGAATGGAATATTAATCCAATCATAGCGCAATAGGGAAGGTGGTATGTCCTATTTACATTTTATTGCATTTGCCATACTTTCCTGTAAAGTATTTATCTTTTGTATCATCCTTTTAGTTTCAAATAAGTTTCATGATGGGGTACAGACTGGGAAGGGAGAGTTGGGTTTTCCAGAAGTGTGGGAAATGAACTGTGGGGCAGAGTTCTAGGCCTTGGGATGGTTGAGTTGGGCTGGGACTCCCGCTCCAACCCTCTGTTTTAGTAGTAAGAGAAATGAGCACACGAGGATCCCAATTCACTGCTCACCACTGCACTTTTAGAACAGCATTGTATGTGTTGTTATGGAAAGGTGGATTAAATGAATTGTAGAAACCAAAACCCAACTCATCCACCCTGTTTCTAGAAATGAGGTTTTTCTGACTTAATAGTATTATAGATATTTGGAAGAGTGCTTACTATGAGAGATTTACTATTTTGTTTTCAAAGCAAAACTGGTTTTAAGCAAATAATTTGAATAGAAATGTGCTTTATAAAAACATTCACAAAAGAGAGAATCTAATCCTACTATAATCCTAGATTCTAATCCTACTGCAATTCGGCGGTCCTACTGCCAACGGGAATATGGTACTTACTGATAGGAGATGTTTTGGCATCGTGTATCTTGTCTTTACTTAATTATTTTAAACAACCGATCCATGTGTGTGGAGTTATAGCAATTAATGTTGAAGTTTCTGTTAATATCTTATGTAATAACCCTCTTTCTTTTGTAAAATTAAATTCCAAGAGCTGGAGAGTCCTCCTTTTTTTAATCATGGGGTGAGTGGTAGTATAAAGAAGTGAGGAAGTGTTGTTTTCAAATGTTACTGTGTTTGTAAGTTTACACCATCGGGTCCTTTTATCCATGTGGTGCTCATCATTTTCACGGAGCTGCAGACAGGGTAAAGTTAGGAGCAGACGCATCCAGAAGCTGGTCTCTCATGCTTCTGGAGAAAGTGTGTGGATGTGGAATACAACTAAAGAGATGATACCACCATTGCCCGATCTTTCATCTGGTCAGTTGACCTCTCTACCTCCATGAAGGGTTGATGTTGCTTTCACCAGTCACTTTTTACCTGTGAAGTGTTCTTTAAGCTGGACAGAATCAGATAGGGAGGTGGACAGTTCTTTTCTGGCTATTCAGTTGATCAGTTTACACTCCAAAGCATGGGCTGTGATGAGGTCTTTTAAGTATGTTATTATTAGCCTTTGTGCTACTTAAGATTTGGCTTTTTGAGATCATGTAGCAGTGAATTTCATGGTACTGGAAGGTACATTATTGTAGATTATCAGATGGCAAGTTTTTGGCTTTCTAAGGTGCTTGTTCTTAACTTGCAAGTTTACATGGTTACTTTTTTATATCTTGGGATTTAATCGCTTAATATCTTTAAGAACTATGAACTGTTCTTAGAATAATTTTCTAAAATAAAGAATTATATAACTCTTGCTATTTTAATAAACCAGAATCTTATGTCTTTTGTAGTCAGAGCTAGATTCTAATACCCTCATCTAAAGCCTAGATAAACTCAAGTCACCTTGATTTTCTATAATAGGCAAGAAAATAGATCCAGTGACATTGCCAACTTCAGTTGCACCAGCAACATCATGATGAATAGCAAGATCTACGGAGATCTTTCAGAGTTGGGAATTTTCCCTTTCCCAGTGGTGTGCTGGAAGCCAGATTCTATCTACGCAGAGAGCCAGTTTTTGTCAAGAATGTTGCAAGCTGGTTGTTAAACACAGCTGCTAGTAAAACTTGAATTATATAAATGTATAATTAAATAACTATTAAAAACAAAGGTAAGGAATACTCAAAAGTCATTAGCTCCTACTTATTTTACTATAATCTGTGAGGTTGAGGTCATTCCGATCTATTGTGTCTGTGTTGTAGAAATACTGTAAAAAGACACACAGATCAACATTCAAGGACTTGTGGCTGGAGGTGAGCCCTGCTGGTAATGTTTCTTCCACAGAAACAGGCAAATGTTATAAAACGTGGCTTAGTTTATTGTTTTGAAAATTGTCACTTGACTTGATAGAAAAAATCTAATAATTCAGGTTAAACTTACCAGAATGGAATGTCTGTAGCTGAAAATGTGAATTGCACACAAATTCAAGAAATGTTTTTTGGTAACAAAAACTATTATTCAGTTTAGCTGAGGAATCTCCTGCCTCGCAGATACATGATTGAAGTCTGAAGCGCATCTTTGCTGTTTCATTTTTGCCTTATTCATTAACATACATGATAATATTAAGCAACGTGGATGTTGGAACTATGACTTTCGCCTTTCAACTATAAATTGGCTACTGATGCAAGAGCTTAGAAAAGATCAACAAAAGCATTCTGTGAGAACCAACTGACTGTGCAATTTCCAGTAGAGTATTGCATATTTTATTATTTCTACAATGTGTGCTGTATATCTTTTATAGCAGTAAAATTTACTACCCATGTACACACATTCATGGGCATAAACACATACTCATACACCTTCCAAATATTTCCACTACTAGCACCAAACTCTCTAGATCTATAGCTAAAATTTCACATTTTGTAGGGTTCTAGGATGGTCTGGCATTTAAGATGATTTTGTATTTTTAAGAAGAAATAGAAACCATTTTAATTTGTAATAAAATGGGAAAATCAGCTAACTTTCACAATGTTTGTTAGTGTGAAGTTGTCACTAGTCTGAAATAACTGTCAATTCTGATAGTCATATCTATAGGGACCAATTTTTAGGCAAATCTTATAACTTATCAATGTATTGATTGTGGTGGGAGAAGACCTGACCTTGCCCTCCGTGATCATGGGGTGCTGTTGGACATCCAGTTGGACTTAGACTATAAATTTCCTTTTTATCCAATTCAATTTAATGACCTCAGTTTTCGTTAGTGAAAAGTTGTTTCCTTCTTCCAGTAAAAACATTGGAAAGGTAATTTTGTACTCAGTTTTGATATCTGTAAAACAGATAATGAAAATAAAACCATGGGGGTGGTGACATATGTCTGTAATCCCAACACTCTGGGAGGGTGAGGCAGGAGGATTGCAAGTTGGGTTCCCCATTGGGTAGCTTTGTCACTTAGCAAGATCTTTCTCAATATCAAAATAAAAGAAGGGCTAGGGATATAGCTCAATCTGAAGGTACTGGATTCAATCCCAAGTACCATATAAAAGAAAAGAGCAAGAAAAAAAACCCGAGTAATGACATGTAAAATGTTTAGAATGGTAGCTGACACATAGTAATTACTAAACAAATGTTATTTAATTACATCCATGTTTAAGTACAATAACAGGGAAGATAAATCTCATGTGAGCTTGCTAGAATATTGCTTTCTAGCTTGCTATAGGCAGAAATTCATGATGTAGTCCTGATTGATTTCCTTTGCCTTTTTTTCTTACCCCCCCCCCATAGTATAAGATTGAGCCCAAGACCTTTGCACAGAGCTACTTTCCCTGTCCATTTTTTCTTTTGTATTTGAGATGATAACCCTAAATCACCTTGGCTGGGCTTGAATGTGGATCCTCCTGCCTCAGCATCCCAGAATGCTGGGATTACAGTTGTGACCACCATGCCCAGCTGCTCTAGGCCTTAGTGTAGGTGATACCAGCATGCTTTCCTCAGCAGCGGGAGGGGAGGAAGCACATTCTCTTTGCAGCTCTCTTGCAGAACAGCCTGCCCTGCATTGGTCTCACTTTGGGCTGGATGGCGTCATTGGGAGCTTCAAACCTCCCTGGGCATCCACGATGTGGGACAGCTGCTGTCTCCAGGAGACTGGAGCTGAAGCAGGTGGCAGTTCCAAGCGGGGCAGCTGGCTCCTAGGGCTTGTGCTACTTCCCCAGCCTTTGCCTGACATCTGGGTCAGTGCCTCTTTTACATTTGTGGAGACCCACAGCCTGCTCCCAACTGAACTTTGGGGCTTTCTGTCCAGTTCACCACTTTCATCTGTTGAATGAGAAATTTGTGAGCCACTTGTTGCTCCCACTGTCTCCTGAACCTGGGCTCCTCATTGAAGACTGTCTACTGCAGGAGACTTCCTCTTAGTGCTCTCCTACACAGCGCCTTGGAAGGAGTGCAGAGCACCTTGAGGTGTTCTAAAAGTATTGCTATTTCCTACAGTAGCATAGACACACAGTTATTAGCATTGCAGGACAAGCAATAGAAAGAAATCAGTTTCTTTTTGTTGTTGTTCATGGAAATGTAAGTGGGATCAGTCAGGCTCTTTTGCCTTGGCTGTGTCTTGATGGCTACTTGCTTTCAGTATTGGATCCCGCCGCCTTGACACCAGCAGCTGTTGGATCTCTCTGGGCCCGCTGCCAGGCATGGCAACATTGTCTGTCCCTCCATCAGTCCATAGCTTGGGCTGGGCTTTTTTTTTTTTTTTCCAGTACTGGGAATTGAACTCACGACCTTGCGCTTGCAGGGCAGGCGCTGTGCTGCTG